GAAATGCTGCTGATCATTCCAATGATCCCAAATAGACTCACATTAGGCCACATGAAAGCAACTGAACCCAAAAATATATTAACCAGTATATAACTGCACTCTCACACAATACGCCTGCAGCAACAGTTAGGACTCCTCCCTCCCTTTTAAAAGTGTTTTTGCTTCCGAGGACATTGTGGTTGTAAAACCACATGCTAGTAGTCTGGCCCCGGTGTGATCAACCAGTTTCTGCGGGAATGTGACGGCGGAACCAGGGCCAGATTAACACTTTGTTGTACCCTGGGCAACAATATTCAAGGGCTCCATCATCACGACCCGAGGATCACCATAATGTGGTCACATACAGAATATTTTACTGTAATATGCAGTAAATATACTCAATACTTGAATGCCTGACAACACGTAACCCGCCCAGAGTAACCTTTGACCCACCTCGTGTGGACTGACCAATGAGGAGAGGGTCTTAACTTGAGGCCCTCTCTTCATTGGTCAGTCTGCATGAGACTGACTCTCAACTGACATTCAGTCGTAGGCAGCGAAGCGTCTCTGTGCAGCGCAAAAGCCCGGGTGGACAGTTTGTTTAATGTAGGGTGACCATATTTCCATTTCCAAACAAGAGGACAGGTGATCTGTGCCTATGACGTCACACTATGGCAACGCCACACAAACCATGTTGGGACCCATTTTTTGTAAGAACTAAATTAATATCAGATTCTGCCAATTAAAGGGCTCTAAAACTATTCATATGTAAATATTTTGCATATTTAATGCAAAATCTAATTTTTCTGCTTTAGTGCTGCAACAAGGTTTTATTAATAATAAATTATTATACCTTTTGTTTTACTACAGCATCGGTAAGCTTCCTGTGCACAGATGATTAAGGATGCTTGTTTCAGCTGTGAGATTAGACGATAGGATCAATGAAAAAATAAGTTGTCACACACTCCATGGAAACTTTCAGAGAATCCACAAATAGTGGCTTTCAAATGGTTTTGTTACTTTTTGCAAGTTTTTAAAAGAAGCAGATGAGACAGCATGTCTGATAATTTAGTTTTTCATCTGATAATATTAGAACATGTCAGTAATGTCTGAGGGGCTTTTATAAACACTGTATAACTAACACTACTGGAGAGGGCATGAATTACACAGAGGCTTCTGGGGAGCCCAGTTATGGGGGGGGGGGGGGGGGGGGGGGGCATTTTGCCTTGGCCCCCAAAATGTCTTGAAACGGCCCTGGGTGTGTGACTGAGTTTTGAAGGTGATCTGAATTGTATCAGATGTATAAATATGACATGTGTATAACTTATTGTTTTTTACTGGTAAAAACGTGTACTGGAGATAAATCTACCTACATTTGACTTTTCAACACTTTGTTTTGTTTTCTTGTTTTTATTTAACTATTTTCCTGTCCTGTCTGTCTCTCATCTTCCTGCATCTCCTCTTAATTCTCCAGAAAATCTGCTGCCTGGATTCTTACCTTTTCACCTCATCAGTTACTTTTGAGCAGATCAAAGGGATCTCCTGACCGAAAAGCGCAGAGCGCGTTTTCGATGCTGCGTGAGGTGAAATCACCACAGCACAGGTGATGAGCTCCGCAGTAGCGAGCTTCAGGCACAAATAAGACAGAAAATAGAGAAAATGTGCGGACATGAACGATCGTGTGCTAATTATAGTTTTTTGGTTGCGCCACTTTGAGAATGGACCGTGCGCTGGAAGCAGCTGCCTGGATCGCTGTGCAACAATGCGGAACCGGTTCGCAGCAGCGCAAGTCTGCCGGCTCTCCCTCACGCTGATCTGCGGCTCTCCCTCGCGCTGATCTGCGGCTCTCCCTCGCGCTGATCTGCGGCTCTCCCTCGCGCTGATCTGCGGCTCTCCCTCACGCTGATCTGCGGCTCTCCCTCGCGCTGATCTGCGGCTCTCCCTCGCGCTGATCTGACTTGCTCTGGTCTGCGCGCAACGGCGGGCGGGAAGGGGGGGAGCGCTTTTGGAAGAGTTGTGCGACACAACGAATCGATGACGCAATTCGTTGCCAACGCTTTTAGTAATCGATTTTCATCGAATTTATCGATTCGTTGTTGCAGCCCTATAAGATACGTTAAATGACTAGTATGTGGCAATGTATAAGCCTTATGTAAAATATAAGGCTGAAAAATACAATAGATTTATTCTATTGTAGAGAGGAATGTTTATTTTCTCGTATTACCACCCCTACTCCTCTCCCAGCTAGGGAGAGGAGGGGGGACTCCCTGCACATCGTTTCATTGTTTTGTTGCCAACCCCCCCTCGCCCGTCCTCAGCTGCGACAACGGTCGTGTGCCGCCGAAGCGCCGCGAAACGGGGACCACCTTCATTCGTCGCCCTTGTTATCCTTTTCTATAGGCCACATGGGCCGCCGAAGCGCTGCGTGCCGGCGCTCCAGCCCGCGCCGTGCATCGATCGCTTCGGCGTCTGCACAATTTTGTTCGCGAGCCGCGGGTGAACCGCGTGAGTTTGAAAAGACTGCTGAAGAGCTGAGGAAATTGTCTGAGAATATTCCAGAATGTCTACCAGAAAATGGCCAATGTTACTTACTTACTGCCCTGCATGACTGAAGGGGAAGCAGCGTGAGCTCTGCATAGAGCGTAATGCTGCGGCAGTTTTATTTTATTATTTCAGGTTAACTTTTCAATACGAGGCCACGAGGCACACAATAAACTTAGGAAGCATGTTGAGGGGAAGCATACTTTTGTCATTGCTTATTTTACAGTTCAACTTACCACTGACACAACAAATATGCTTAAAACTGAAGACTTTCCTCCTACTTCCTCATCACCGTGGTCTCTGCTTGACTGAATTGCTTCTGCTGCATGTGTGCTGTGATGGTGGCCCACCCCCCCCCCCCCCCCACCCCCCCACCCCCACCCCCCCACGAGGAGTGGAGCCTCACAACATGAGTTCATAAAGCTGGCGCCATCTGCTGGATAGGTAGCACAATATCGGCCATATCGGACGTCTTTTTGGCCGATAGCCGATAGTGTTAATGACCCCTATATTGGCCGATATATCGGTCAGGCCCTACTCTTAACAGATCACACTCTAGCTTTGCTTAACATTTAGCTTTTAAGACAACCATTCATAGTTGTGAACCTTTTTAGGCAGCAGATATCCCATCAGCCATGCAAATATGAATGAAGCTTTCAGAAAGTAATGACTGGATATATAACTCCAGTTGATTGTCTTTTGAAGCCAACCCAGTTCAATTTGAGGCATGTCTACTGGGTTTTAACAAATAGAGAAGCAGCTACAACTCTGTTTGTTTACATATATTGAGTTCCAGATTGAAGCGTTAGTAGTTGTCACACACAATGCAAACTATGAGCACTAACAGATCTCATAAGATCTTGTGAGATATAAATAAAACACGAATCATTTTTCAGTGTAATTTGAATTAAGTTTAAATTGGTAGCAACAAACTCCGTGAGTGATATGCTTTCCTCCGAGGACTTTCAGGCCTTTAATTAATTCTAACATCAATGAAAAACTCAAACTTCAACTTGTCCTTCCAACTAAAAATCAATCCAAATCAAAGGGAGACTTTAAAAACAATTTACATGAATATAAAATCATACTGCCTATAAAACTATTCACACCCTTGGAGGTTTTATTTTTTATTGATCATGATTGACATAATTTGGTGTCTTTTGACCAAAGATATGAAAAAAAACCTTAATATCAAAAGAAGGGGTGCACCGATCTATCAGCCCCAATGTCGTTTATCTTTTTTTTCAAGTGATCTGCCAAAAACCGATATTGGTGCAGCCCTAATAAATGTTATAGCAAATGAAATAATTTTTTGGACAAGTGTGAAACTGGTACAAACGTTTTGTTTTCAATAGGGATGTTCCGATCACGTTTTTTGCTCCCAATCCGATTCTGAGTCATTTGATTTAGAGTATCTGCCAATACGGAGTCCTCTTCCGCTACTTTTTAGAAAAGCATTGAAATAATAAGAAAAAAAGAAATAATTTTAAGCAAAACATTAACATAAGAAAAAAAGGGGGGAAAATCAGGAAAACATTAAACGAGGATGAAAACACATCCAAATTGTTCTTTAAGATTAATTTCTATTTTATTTTTTATTTTTTATTTATTTTATTTCAAACAGGTCAAACAATGCTGAATTCACAAAGAAAAAAAGAAAGAAAACAACAAATGTAGTTTTTTTACAAAAACCCATAATTTAGGAAGTACACAGATTAAATACTTATTTGTATTGTAAATATACTTTAAAGTATCAGCGTTACTCTTATTTCAAGTTGTTGACTCCCTCAAGAAGCAGCTGTGAACAATGCGTGTTCACATGCTGGAGCAGGCAGGTGAAGCCTTCAGCAGGCAGGGTGGCTTTTCTCTGTGTAACACCTGTAGCTCCAGCGCGCAGCTCCGGTACTGGAGAACTAGAACCCCGATGTTTAGCTGTCTGTTGGCAATTTCTCTTTGTTCATTAGCGTAACTCTCTCTGTCGGCTGGCTCAGAGTTTTTGTCTGACTTCACTGTGAACTGTGACTGTTAAAGGTAAACTGGGGATTAGTGAAGACCAGTGATTTGCTTTGTTGATGCCCGAAGGGAAAAGCCAACAGCAAAAGTAGCTTGTTTGAAGGCAGCGAATCATGGAGCTGTGTTCAGCCTGTTGAACACCCAGTATGCACATACAGTATAATACAAGTGTCTGTAGCTCTGCCTTTGTTGTCCGGTTTAAAATACCACCAAGCTGCAGATATTTTAGTTCTCCTGAAGAGACACGGTAGCTCTTTGTTAGCAGGCTTGCTAACAGTGGCACTTGGTGTCTGAGTCCTTGCCTGCCGTAAATTGTGTGACGTTACTGTGTTGTTTTTAGGGCTGCAACTAACGATTATTTTCATAATCGATTAATCTGTCGATTATTTTTTCGATTAATCGGTTTGTTATCGTTTAGCTATTTAACCTATACAAGTGATGGATGCATTTCAGTTAAGAAAAAAAACTTAAGAGAATTGTGCAGTTGACTGCAATCTATTTTATTGCAATTGAACACAGTCAGCGGTGTAAAATGAGCTAAACAGTGCAAAATATCAGTCCAGAATAATTTTTTAGCATTAGCTGGAAGCCTGCTCCTTCCACCATGGATAGTGGCCTCATGTCTTTTACCAGCATGTTTAGAATAGAGTTTTTAAGTGGTTTGCATTGCTGGGGGGTGAGTGTCTTGTTCCCCATGTAGTTGTCCATCGTTGCTTGTTTTTTTCTGCATAAGAAACACAAATAGACTGAAATAAGTACACATATAAAATAAAGCAGCACACACACTACAACACTAAATCAATATTATATTATTTGAATTAATTAACAATATACAGTGATCATTTATTTTGAGGGTAACGTTCTACAAAATAGCCCGCAACAGGAGATATTCAGAAAAAAAAGTCAAATTTTTTTTTACTATTAAAAAGCTCTAAGTAAGAAGCTCATGAGGTTTTTACTTTGAGTCGGGAGTGTTTAACTTAGCTAGAGAAATGTGAACAATGTTTATTTTGTGTAATACTGTTTAAGAAACATGATAAAAATGTGCTGTGAGGCGTTTTACAGCGTTAGATAGTAAAACAGCCTTTTAATAGTAAAAAAAATGACTTTTTCTGAATTTCTCCCGTATTTAAAAATTGAAAGCGTACAACTATGCCACGTTATATTCACCTGGACACAGCTCATCTGTATATTTTTCACAGCGGAGTTGTCCTTTTTTGAATGAGGAACAAAGTTATGGGTTTGTGCCGTTTTTCTCTTAACGAGAACATTCTTATAAACAGACGTGCTAAATTTGGCAAGCGCATGACACACAACACGGAGGAGATTCACGATTGCATCTAGTCAATCAGAAGTAGAACACCGTAGTCTGACGCGGCAAAAAAACATGTTTAACATCCACTATAACGAACTCAGCTAAAACACTAAGTCCAGCTTGTTTATTTTCTGTTACTTACCGGGCTGGCTCTTCCAAATGACGGCTCACTTGACCGCGGTGCTCTTCCTCTGCTGCATCAGCCCCCACATGCTTTCGTCTCAAATGTTCACTTAGAGACGTCGTGCTTCCGTGCCATGCTAGATGGTTTTTGCATATTTTGCAGGTCACCCATCTTTTCAAGGCATCTAGAGTGAAGTGCTCCCATACTCGTGAGGTTTTTGTCCGGGGTTTCGCTTCAGTTTTGTCGCTTCTATTTTTCTTCCGTATTTCTCCTTGTTCCGCCATCTCTCACAGCAAAATGAGCGTCAGTAACGTGATACGTCATGAAAACCGAGGGCACTTATTGGCTCATTTCTTCTTCTACGGCTCCACTGGTAGATTAGTGGCTCATTACTGCCACACACTGGCGGCAAATTTAACAGCTTGTAACCAATGTCAGATTGTGGTAAAAATAGACGTTATGCGGTAAAATATGATTATTAAACAACTAATCGATGACTAAAAAAGTTGTTAACTATTTTAATAATCGATTATAATCGATTAAATCGATTAGTTGTTTCAGCTCTAGTTGTTTTCGTACAAGAAACAAATACTGATGTAGAGAGACTCGTTGAAATTAAAACTAAGCCATTTTTAATCAATTTGAAAGTCTCTATCTCAGGATTAACTAAAAAAGTTGTGTTTGTTATTTTAAAAAGTTAAATCTGATTTATTTCTCCCGATTCCGGTCCTTCAAAAACACGTGATCGGATCAGGGCATCCTAAGTTTTCAAAAATAGAAAAATGAAAGTCTGAAGGGACAAATATGATTTTGTAGTTCAAACAGCAATGCTAAATATGTTAATTTATATTAGAGAACATTACCTCATGTCCAGTTAAAACTGGTATTGTTTCATGAGTATTCATATTGGTTTTCTCAATACAAGGAAATTTAAACATTCACGTGATCTGCTTTTAGTTAAGACAAATGCGGTATCGGCAAAATCAGTATCGGCAAGTCATGTTTTTCTCGTGATCAGTGATCGGCCAAAAACTGCAATCGGTGCACCCCTAGTCAAATGTGAAAACTGATTTTTACAAAATAATGACAATCAAATACAAATTGAGATCATTAAATAAGCGACTAACCCAATTCAACAAAGGATGGAGATCACGTTGGGCTGGACGACATAACAATAGCAATATAATAACTTTTCCTCGACAGACAGTTGATCAGTAGAACTTTGAAATAAAGAAGAATTGAACAGCCAATCATCTGCGTTGGAACAAAAAATTTTCTTCCAATATCTTCAAGTCTCATTTACCAGTGCCAGAGAGCATTACAAATGGACAAAATATGGCCGTCCTGTATATCAGTATCGACCATTATGAAAATTAATATAATAGGATTTTTTTCCCATATCTCCCACCCTACGTGCGTGCAGTGACTGTGTCTTAAGTGACTGTACTTTGCACACTGTGTCTACAAGGTTCATTCACTGGCTAATCAGTATTTCTGGCTACAGTTTGAAAAAAGTAAATCAGAAAATGTTTTTGAAAAGTAAAAGTCAGGAGACGGTTACAAAGCATTCTAAGGCACCGAATATCCCCTAGGTTTCAGTTAAATCCATAAAGAACACTATGGAGTATGGCACATGTGTAAATCTGACAAGATCAAACCGTCCTCACAAACTGGGAGACTGTACAAGATGGGAACTGGCGACAGAAGCCACCAGTACTACTCTGAAGTAGTTCCAAGCTTCAGCAACTGAGATGGAAGAAACTCTGCGTACAACAACCGTTGCCTGGGTTCTGGCCAGAGTGGCAATGGGAATGCTACATATGAAAATTCATATTGTCTCAACTGCAGTTTCCTTAAAGGCATGATGAAGACTCCATGATCAAGTAGGAAAGTTGGAGAAAGTTGTTTGGTCTGATGAGAACAAAGTGGAGCTTTGCCACAAGCCACTATGTTCGAACACACAATCCCTAGTGTGAATCATGGTGGTGGCAGCATTGTGCTGTAAAGGTTGAAGGTAAAAGCAATGCAACATAATATAGGGAGATATTGGAGGGCAGTGTGATTCCTTCCACAAGAGAACTACGGTTTGTGAGGAAGATTTATTCTCCAGCAAGACAGCGACCTGAAGTATATAGCTAAATCTAAAAAGAAAATGGTTTGAAGACAACAAGGGTGCTTTTTCTGAAGTGGTACAGTCAAAGCCCAGGACTATATCCAATGAGGAATTTGTGGCTGGACTTAAAAAGGACTGTTCACACCTGATCCAATGCAACTGGACAAAGCTTGAACGGTTTTGAGAGGAAGAATAAGGTAAAACGATAGTGTCCAGATGTGAAAGCCTGATTGAGATCAATCCACCAGACTCCATCCAGTGATTGCAGACAGTGGTACATCTCCTAAATCCTGATTTGGAAGAGGTGAATATTAATGCAATCCCTCATTTTATATTTCCGTATGTTAGATGCTTTTATTTAATTGCCAATATTTTTACAGGAATCCATTTTATCTTCAATATTAAAGACTTTTTTTGTGAAACATTTTGTCAAAGAAACCAAATGATCTTGGTCATAATTGCTTAATGAAAGCAATAAAAGGTAACAACACCCATGGGGGTGAATACTTTTTATACGGTACTTTGCAAAATTTATAGGCAGGTGTAATAAATGCTGTAAACAAAGAACACTGCCAGAAATATAAATGACTGTTTATTTTTATCAGTTTACAAAATGCAAAGTGAATGACCCCAAACATGCAGCCAAAGTCATGAAGAATTATCTTCAGCGTAAAGGAGTCCTGGAAGTGATGTTCTGGCCCCCACAGAGCCCTGATCCCGACATCACGGAGTGTGTCTGGGGTAACATGAAGAGACGGCAGGATGTGAGGAAGCAGGGTGTCTGCGGGGTTTTAAAAAGTATTAAAAAGTGATAAATAAAAATAGTCAAATTTAAGGCCATTAAAAGTGTTAAATTTGGTCTCAGAGGTATTATTTTTTCCAAATTAGGTATTATTTTTTTCAGACTATCAGATGTCGTATTCTGAACATCGACATAGAAATATATTCCGAATGAAATGTTTTGAACGATTATAAAAACAAAACAAGCCGATTATTTGCTCCTCCCACTTGCGCTGCCTTGAGTTGCAAATGAAGCGCTCCTCCCAGTGTTGCCAAGTTAACTTAGCGACTTTGACGCTATTTCTAACAGCTTCTCAGACCCCCTTCTTGACTTTTTAAATCTTAAAAGTACCCAGCGAACACCTCAGAAACATCTCTGGTAACCCTTAGCTACTTTCTGGATAACTGTCGTCGACATTTCCTGCAGGTTAGCTAAACACTCCGCCTGCACTCCGGACCATTCTTCAGGACATTAGGAAAGGGAATGATGTAGTGATGAGTCAGTCGCTAAAGACAGCTCTCGGAGCCGGCTCCCTGTTGGAGTAACCAGACTGAGTGACACACACCGTACCTGCGGATTCCTGAGCCGATAAAAACAGCTAAATGTGCGCGTGCGGTGCGCTAAACACACGTGCAGCTTGCCCCTGATTGCTGTGAGACCGGGTTGGGGGTGGGGGTGCAGCTGTGGTTGGGACAATTATTACATTAACTGATGGACGACTTGTAAATAAATAGTTTATAAATAAGGTAGAAATAAGTTCCTCACGCTGATAAATAGTAACTAATCTCTCTGAGGACATGGTGTTAGTGCACTCTCCTACAGCACCTTGCCATGACTCAATAAATGCTATGCATCATTTAGTGAACAGCAATTTGCATGTATTTGTTATAAATGCCACTGTATAATTCTTGCTGTCAGTATTTGCAAGATATTGGTATTTGGGTCTGCACTGGTTAGACTTAAATGAGTTAAACCAAGGTCTATAGGCCTTGGGTCATAGACTATGAGCTATAAGTATATTGGTCTTTTTATACTGGGAATCAGGAGTTATTTTAGTGATCATCTTGTTTCTTGTTTATTTTTGCCCTGATTGTGCCCTGAGCAGTTTTATGACTGAATAAAAATAAAAAAAATAAAAATCTACATAAATTGAAAAATCGTCTTAAATAATCGAGATCTCAATTTCAGTCACAATCGTGATTATTGTTTTTGCCATAATCGAGCAGCCCTACTTTAGCATATCCGGTCACATAATGATGACGTCATATTCAGTGGTCGTTGTGCATCATTTCAGGCCTTGTGGTCAACTGTCTGAACCGCTGAACAGAAGTGCCTGGCTTATTTTCTAAGTAAAATAAATATGTGCAATACGTTGTCAACATCAGTGAGTCTCTAAGTCTATTCTTTTTGTATGTTATATATGTTAAAATATGTGTAAATAGGTCGCTGATTAACACTTGCAATTTAGTGTTGTGATGGTTTTAAAAAAATTCTGAAGGTAGTAAAAAAAAGTATTAAAAAGTAGTAAATTTTACTTAAGGATTGCTGTATATACCCTGGGAAGCCTACGTCCACAGAAGATCTGCGGTTAGTTCTCCAACAACCTACCAACCCAGTTCTTTCAACAATTATGTGCAGGTATGGCTAGAAGAAATGTTGCTGCTTTGGAGTTGAAGGGTGGTCAGTATTGGTTGATTTAGATTTCTCTTTTGCTTATTTGCTGTTTTTTGTTGATTGATTAAAGTAAGTGATTTCTGAAAGCATTCTTTGTTTGCAGCATTTTTTCCACACCTGCATAAAACTTTAGCACAGTATTATAGGCATGGTATATTTGCATTAAAACACTGAATTTCTCACTGTATTGTTATGACTCTGGTTTAAGACATAAACAGTTTAATTTAAATGTTTTGTAGGTGAGTATTTTGCTTTTGTCTCTGAACACCGATGCAAGGTTATGCGTGTCTAACTTTGATGAGGTTCCCCTTCAGCCAAGGACTCCCCTTTGTCATTAAGACAGATAACATCTTTTGTGCGCATCGATACATTCGTTCAAAGACTACTTTTGTTTCACCCCACAGACAGCACAATCAATAAATAGCTTTGCCTATTTCAGCCTCATTTCATCTTGATTCACTTCCAGTTGAAATAACAGGACCCAAAGTTTATCACATCATTGCTTTTATATATTTTAAATTGATAAAAGTTGAATAATTAAGTCTACAGTTATGCTTTACAATACATTAATTTCATTAATACCCCCAACCCATCAATGAGTTTATCTCTGTAATACACTCTTATAGATCCACACCCTGAACAGCTAACTGTGTTCTTCAGAGATGTTGAGCTCAGCTGTTACCCTGAAAGTAAGGGAAGAGAAGTTTGTTTATTCTGAGACACCTTCACAACTGTCTAAAGAGATCAAATACATCGCTAATAGCGATGGGTTCAATACATCCTGTGTG